ATGAAATATAAGTTCATTTAAGCAAAAATGAACTATAAGTTCATTTGAGCAACTAAAAATTATACTGTATCAAACCTTAAAGAATGAACTATAAGTTTATTTAAGCAACAGTTGAAGTACCCCCCAACAATTACAGTCGGAAAAGCCAAGGCTCAGAAGACAAGTAAGCCAACCAACCCACATTCACCAACTATAAATCCAACAACCATGAACCAACTAGAAAGATAAAGCAAGGTCCATAAAAAATAAAAAGACAAATAAAAAACATAAATAAAATCAGGAGATGCAAGAAATAGAGATAGATCACCATAAACACAATGCATAACCATCCCCAAAGCAGTAGCAATAAAACATATCACAAACAAGACCAACCCCAAACAACATTAATTAAGTAAATTTAATGCACTACTCCAAAATGCACATTAATGCAATGCTCCAGAATAAATGCCCTACTTCAGATATGCACATCAATGCATTGCTATAAGTTCATTAATGTGAGTATTCAACCAAGTAGCCAACCAATGCTACCAAAACTGTCAGCCTCACCAGAATACATCAACCATGCTGACAAATAATACAATGCATACTGTCAAGTCTGTCAGTACCAACAATAAATGTAGTGATCAACACCTAACAGAAGCAAATAAAAGAACAAATTCTTCCACAAATATGGCAAAAAGAACAAAATCTAACCAGTGCACAAATTAGTCCAACAAAAGCTTCTAGCCTCCCAAACACTCAATATCTTACCAAAGTATCGAATCTTCTACAATCTTCAATAAATCTATAATAGATATAATGAAATAGAGTTCTTTTTAACTTCTAAATAAAAAATGATTAAAGAATAACCTAAAAAACATGTTACCTTCATCAAATTTATCCACATCCCAAATATTCTCTTCAACATTAACAGGGTCACTTGTTCATTTTGCTCTCATCCAATCTATATTGCAAACTAGAGCCTACACAATTCTAGAAAATAATGGACTCCTAAAAGCATAAAGAACACGACTACTTGTGCTAAATGTAGATTTAGATTTCACCGTAGATATTGGAACTACTAGCACATCTCTAGCATTTGAGAGAGGATTGGAAACTGGGATGCATTAACCTTCCTCCATGCCAAAATATCAAAATTCTCTTGCATAGTTTCAAAATCTTTAGCTAAATGTTTTTCTAAATTTGTTCTCCTATCAAGGTCTTCTCTCCCACAATTATGATGTCCAAACTTTTCAATCAACATATATTTTCTTCCTCCATCTTTTAGATCATTATGTTCAATCGTTAGACTTTATTTTATCTCATTGTTATGTTTATCTCTATTTATGTGGGATCAATTTTTATGCATGAAAATCCAAATGCCAAATTTTACGTAAAAATATGTCTGGTGACCAACGAATTGGTTTGCATGCTCCTCATATGTGATTATGAAGATTATACAACTTACATAATGCAATTTGAATTGGCTTGTAGAGAAAACAATAATTTTAAGGTTAGTAAGAAATCATTATTTATGCATGAAAATTGAAATTAAATAATTTTAAATAAAACTTATTTCAAACGATAGTCAAACTTGTTTGCATGGTTTTTATATATGACAAGCATCACACAATATTCAGAATGAAATTGTGAGTCCTACAATGATCTCGAGAGATAAAATGATAATTTCAGAAGTTAGGTTAATTAATGCTCATTTTAGGTCAATTTTAGGGTTTGATTAAAATGAGTATAATTGGAGTTTGTTTTGGTTAGATTTAAATTTTAGTAAATAAGAGTTTGCTAACGATTAAACTTAAGTGAGATTCAGTTAAACACAGATCAAGAAAATTGGTTAACCAAAAAATGAGGTCAACAATCATTTGTGACCTATAATATTATTACAGCTTATTGATGAAACTTATGTGACCAACTACAGCCTACGTGGCTCACAGCTCTTGCATCTTCCAACTCAATCCGAATTAAATTTCGGTTTGACTTGATTGGTTAGGTTGGTCTAAAAAAAAATTGGTTCGGTTGTTTGGTTTCAGGATTTCGGTTTAGATCGGTTAACCAAATTTTAAACCCGATCCATCCGAACCGACCGAATGCACGCCCCTACCTAAAAGATTAATTAATAACTAGAATCAATCCCTTGAATTCTTCACTTTATTTTTCATTCATTTTAATTAAATAAACAATTATGATTTTAAAAAATACAGTTCATAAAGCTTCAACGTTATATGTACCTTTAAAATTTAATCAATTAATGCGTCACTTAAATGTATTACAGATTTACATTTAATGCTAATTAACATATATGAAAATGCAAATATTTAATAAATTATATACATGAACGTTATTTAGACAAAAGGGAAACGGAAGAACTAGCTTGGGTGTCCCATTGAATTGAAGCAGTTCGGCAGTGAAATTGATTGCATTAATTGCCGTCACATTATAGGAAGATTTTTACGTGCATACACCTTAATTTTTATGTATTTACAAACACAGCATCTGAACTTTGATTTTTACAAGTGTGTTATATGTAGGATTGTCAAAAAAAACTCGTTGTTCACGAACAGTTCGTTTTCGGTTTATCAATGAGTTTGTGTTCGATTCGTTCGATAAGTAAACGAGATGATGAACTAAACGAGATGAACATGAACAAATTTTTTTCGTTCGGTTAGTTAAACGAACCAAACACGAATAGTGATGCGCTTGTTCGTGTTTGAATCGTTATTGTTTGAAATATAAAATAATTTAAAATAATTATATATAAAAAATTTTTATGATATTTTAAAAAATTAAAATTTATAAATTATAATATATAATAAATTAATAATAATAATATATTAATATACTATATACTAATATAGTTATTATATATTTATATAATATACGTTATATGATTAATATAATATATTATTTATAAATATATTAATATTAGGGATGTCAAACTGGCTCGTCGTTCGCGAACAGCTCTGTTCGGCTCGTTCGTTAAGAAATGAACACGAACAGTGACTTCACGAACAATTTCGAACACGAGCATATTTCAAACAAACTAAATTTCAAACAAACCAAACACGAGCCCTGTTCGTTCATGTTTGATTCGTTGAGCGAACGAAAATATCTTTTTGTTTTAAATTATATCTTTTTAAATTTTTTTTTTGAAATAACAAGAAGGTGAAGTTGTAAACGGACAAAGTAAATTATAAATATCAACATATTCCGCAATACTTTTAAATAATAAAAATAGTAGATAATTAATGAGATCAAAAAAGAAAAAAAAATTAAATATTTAAATATTCGAAATCAATTAATAATCATGATTTTGTTTCGAGTATTTTTTAAAAACCATACTATTTTGAAGGTTTCTCCTTTGTTTAGCTCTTCATAGGGCTGTGAATTTTGCTAGAAATTCAATCGATCGAAAATTGATTCAAATTTTTAAATAAATAAGTGAAATAATGAGCTAAAACTTTAGAATGAATTTTTTTTCAATCCGGATTCGACTCATACACTTATCAGTTTGATTTTGCTCGAGATCCCCTCGAATAATTTTTATTCATAAAAAAATTATATATAATGTTAAATAAAGCCTAATAATATCGAGTTAACCTCAATTTAGAGTTGAAATGAATTCAAACAACTCAATTTGAGTTAGTTCATTTTGATTTCGAGTTGGACCGAATTCGATTAACTTTCGAGCCAAGTTGACTTAAAAATGGATATAGCGATCCACAAGCTGATTTTAATCCGTACTCAATTCATTCGAACTGATTTCGAGCCAACCTCAACACGACTCGAAATCAGGTGGCTAACAACCCCAGTTCTCCGCTAGCTCAACTAAAATTCTAAACTTTTGTGAATCTCAATTTTCTTAATTTTTCCAATAAAAAAAGGCAACATTTCTGAGTAAAATTAATATGTTTTTGAAAAATTTTTAAGTTATTTTAAGATATTTTGAATATTTTTAAATAATTATATTTTAATTAAATAGTTAAATATATTTTACTTTAATTCAAAATAAAAATAAAATGAAAATAAAATTTATTTCCAACAAATGAACTAAATTGTGAAATTATTGAATTTAAGTTTTATGGATTTAATATAAATACTTAATATAACAAATTTTATTTGAGATTAGTCACCAATATTAGTGACAGTAAATTAAGCATTTACTTACATAAATAAAACGGTAACCTATATAACACCCTAACTCTATTAAACCTCAATTTTAGTGACACTAAATTAACTATATAATAAATAAAACCAGCCTACCAATTTAATTTATATTTTTAATATGACCAATTTTATTTGAAATTAATGTTTATTTAAAATTAAAATGAGTTACATTTACATTGCCAACTCACCACGACCAAAACGCAACTTTTCAGGGCATTTACATGCATGCCCCCCCAATTATGCATTTACATATCTAACACCTAAAATTTATTTTTTACATTTATACCACCCACATTTTTCGTATCTTAAAAATATCACTTTTTTTATTTAAAAAAAAATAAAATTCACATTTTTATGCATAATTAAACTGGTATGTATATGTGGTTATATATATATATATATTGAATTTTAAATGTTAAATAAGTAAATATATAAAAATTGAGGGCTAGTTATGTAAATTTTTCAAAATAGAATTCTGATAAGTGAGTAGCCCTAAATCTATTAAATCGCAATTTCAGTAACTGTAAATTAACTACGATAAATAAATAAATAAAAAAAAAACAGCAACCAAACAATTAAATAAGTAGCTAATGTTGCTTATAAATGCTAAAACTTCTGGTCCTCTCCCAATCCCTTCAAGCCAAATCATGGCAATCACCCCCAACATCACGCCCAACACTGCTCCTCTCCTCATCACCTTCCTTCTCCTCCTAAGCTCCTTCTTCGTCTCCCCTTCCGCCGGCCTCCGCGGCGGTGGTCACTTGAATGCCATCGATCGATGTTGGCGAAGGGACCCTCTCTGGTTCAAGCACCGGGAGCGGCTCTCCTCATGCTCCATCGGATTCGCCGGAAAGATGCGGAACAACCGAGGGTTAGGGTTGAGATTCTATGTGGTAACCGATGCCAGTGACGATCCGGTGAAGCCGAGGCCAGGCACGCTCCGGTACGGAACGAGCATGATAGCTGGTAAGGTTTGGATCACGTTTGCGCGCGATATGCAGATCAAGTTAGAGCGGCCGCTGCTTATCGGGAGCTACACGACGCCGTGGAGTGGACGTACAGATTGCAGGGGGAGCTGGATTCTTGCTCAACAAGGTACTCTGTTTCATGCTTTGTTTCATGCTCTGTTCCAATCTCCAAAATAAATGAATAAAAATCAACAGGTACACGACGTGATCATTCACGGATTACAATTCCACCACATTCGGGCGATGGCACCTGGGCCGGTCATCGGACCTGGTGGCAGAGTGAATAACATGTGGGTGAGCGACGGAGATGCAATCCGGCTAGTCTCCTCATCCAAAATCTGGATCGATCACAACACGCTTTACTCTGGCGAGGACGGCCTCCTCGACGTCACTCGGGGATCCACCGGCATCACCATTTCGAACAACTGGTTCCACGACCACGACAAGGTGATGCTTCTCGGCCACGATGATGGCTTCGTCGAGGATCGCAACATGCACGTCACCGTTGCCTTCAACCGATTCGGTCCTAACTGCAACCAACGCATGCCCAGGTGATCGATCGTCATTCACAAAGTTTGCCGCTTTATATCTGGTATTTGCAGGTTTTGTAGAGTTTGTAAATTTTAATATGCAGGATAAGACATGGATATGTGCATGTGGTGAACAACTTGTACGAGGGGTGGAAGCATTACGCCATTGGAGGGAGCATGAACCCTAGGGTTAGAAGTGAGGCTAATTTCTTCATTGCTCCGCCGAATAATAACAAAGCGGTGAGACAAGAATATACATAAAAATGGAAAATTGAGATGAGAATATACTAATTGATTCTGGCTAACAGGTTACCTGGAGACTAAGAGGAGAAGAAAGGTGGAACTGGAAATCAGTAAACGATATATTCGTCAATGGAGCTTTCTTCGGAGACACGGATGTGAAAGGTCTAGAGCCGGGCTACAATCTACGGCAGCGCTTTGCGGTGGGGAAGGCAAGCTCTGTGAAATCGCTGACCAAGTTCGCCGGAGCTCTGCGCTGCTCCATGAGATCTCGGTGCTAATATTACATCAGTACAGTTGCCTGCAGGATGACCGACAAATATGGGATATATTTCTAAAAAATATACTGATATTCTTTCAATATTTCTGGCATTAGATATTTTTTTCTGTACTCAATATTTCGTAATATTACGGTAGAAAAACATATAGTTTAAATTATTCATTTATGTTGTTTTTAATTCCATGTAATGGACTTATTATTAAATTATTCTTTACGCTCTACAAAGTTTCCAATGGCACATGGTTTCCATCGCGACTAGAGTTGATTTATGTTAAACTTCTCTGATTATTGAATATCGAACCCAATGGGAAATGGGCATGTTCTGACTGATTCTTATTGTTAATTTATGTTTCTCAATCTTATTATAGCGATGTATGTATAATAGTATTTATGGAATTGTATAATGAAGTTTGTTAAGCATCTAGTAGTTTGTGTGAGTTGTAGATTACAACGGAATGGTATGGATGATTGGTTTATAATAATGAGCATTCATCTCTCTTAAGATTTTATGTTTATTTCAGAGGTATTAACATTCCCCCGCAAGGTGACTTTCTCTGATGAGGATGTCAGCTTGGAATTGAGGTGTTTGAAGTGAGCTTTGGTACGGGAGTTGACAAAAAAAAAATGGTAGTTGTTCTACTGTGACAATATGACAAACAATGACATAATTATTCTTAATGTAATCTCTAATAAAGTGACAATTAATTTCAATATTCTTAATTCCCAATATAGTAGCGTTGGTTGTGATTCAAGAACCTTGAAATCTCATAAGAGAAGCCTTATTCAGATTATATCAATACTTGTAGTGGCAGGTGCTATATTCTCAGGTTTTGTAATAAGAATAGCAACCATTACTTGTTTTTTGATAAACCAAGAAACTAGAGTTTGGCCAAACACAATATGATAACCTGAGGTAGATTTGCGGTCTATTGGATCATCGATGCAATCCGAATTGGCATAAGCTATGAGTTGCAATTTGCTTCTAAAAATTGGTAACCTACGCTGTGTGGTATCTTGAATGTATATGAGCAGCCTTTTAAGTTGCTAAAAATTATACTCTAAAAGATGATGCATAGATTGGTTGACTTGATTAATTGTACAGGAGATGTTAGTCATGGTAAGTGTAATGTAATATAAGGAGCTGAATAAGATGGATTTAGAAAGGTCTCATTATATTTATCTTGTTGACTTCATTTTTGGTGAGGTTTAAATTCCTCTCCTAGAGCTTAGAATCTAACTATATGGCTTTCTTATTGACCATCTTAGAAGACTAGTGAGGAGACCCAACCCACTTAGAAGTTCAAACCACCTCTTGAATCTTTTGTGATATCTCATATGGGTGGTCTCAATTCCTCAGCTCTTGATTGAGATGACTAAGATCAACATGTTGAAGCTCAAAACTGAGCTCCTATAGAACCATGAGGCCTTAGGGAGACCATGAATGACTTGACCATGCATACCCCCATACTTCACCCTATGCACATCCACATTTACCACATACACATTTATACACCCCACACAATTCACACACACAACATCACATGCCCTGTACATAGTTCACTCACAATCCACACATCACAAACATCACCACCATAATGCAGCTGCATTCACACTACACACACATATACCCTTCCACCAAACCCACTATCACTCTAATCCACCACCACATAATACACACAATTACATCACATTCACATTCACATTGCCCCCACACTCATACATGAATCTACCCCACGCATCAAACTCCCCTAAACCCAATTCCATGCCAATTGGACCCCTCTTGGACACCAAATTTGAACCTATCTTCAAACCCCAAATTTGATACCTTTATGGGCCACCCTTTATGATTAATATTCTTACATTAATTCTCCTCATTCATAATCCTAATTTGGATTAATAATAAACCAAATCCAAGCCTAAAGCCAACCCATCATGACAACTCCTAAAAGCCCACCAATCCAAAGCACACTAATCCAAAGCCCAACTTTTAAATATTCTTAAATCTAAGCTCACATGACAAAATTCACCCGACCTCATCATCATGCTAAAATTTGACTTAGCCTAAGGTATGAAATGGTATGGTTAATCAACTAAAAATAGAATTCATGAGAACCCTTTCAACACTTGGATTTCTCACCCTCTATTAATGCAAGCCATGTAGGCCACACATGAGCCATGAGCAAGCCACTTGGCTTCATCCAAGCCATATGGAAGCCATGAAGCCATGTACAAGCCTCATGTGAGCTACCATACCATTTATGGCTAAAGGAGGACCTACCTTCCACACTTGCCAAAAAGCCCTTAACCACTCTCAAGACTCATCTAAACCCATGTTTGGCTCTAATCCCCATGATTGGAACTTGTCCATTTTGACCATCAGCCCTAGCCACCATGGAGAGTGAGACAAGCCTATTTCATGACTCAAGCCTAAGCCAAACCCAATTTGACCTAAAATCCTTTCCTTTTTAATTCAACACATCTACCAATGCTCCAACCAAATTAGCTTCACCAACCTCCACCATTGACTTCCCACAGTCAGATGGTGACCACACAAGCATCACCACCCCACCATTATCGACAACAAGCCCAAACCCTAAAACCACCCAAAGGGGGTATGCTCAAAATTGAGCATATCCAATTTGTCTGACATGCCATAAAATTACATGTTTTTATCTATGTATTTCATGCTTATTTTCAATGATATTGTGTTTTAATGAAAGGTATTTTGTGTGTTTTTGATTTCAGGTGCAAAAAATAGAGTTTAAGAGAAAAGAGAGCAAAAATGGAGCAAAAATGGAGCAAAAATGGGTCAATTGAAGCCAAAGACACAAAAAGTGACTTGGCTCCTAGGCGTCAGGATGTTCTAGAAGGTCGATGCCTAGGCGCAACAGTTGGGCGCCAAGGCACCAGAAATGGTTTGCCCAATATTTATTGAATTTTAATGAATGGTGCCATAGTTCTCCCACTATCGCTCAACAATCAAATATTCGATAGTTCCCCCAGGCCGAGAAAACTTCATTCTGCAATCAATTTCTTAGATTGCAGATCTCTGTATATGTCCTGAGCTTTCGAACTAGAGAATTTATCAGAGTCAAAATTTGTTTTTCCTTTTCCACTCTTCATTTTATGAGCCATGTAAAATCTAAAAAAAATCAAAAAAAATTCCAATAATCTCAAATGCAACTTCATAAGGCTCCTGCAAACACATTCTAACCCAAATAATCATTCAACCATGGATTTCTCACTATTTTCATCAAATTTTAAGATCTTTGGCCTAACCACAATGTGGAAGAAATCCATGGTGAAATAAAAAATTTTCAAAGCCAAGATGAAGTTCTAATCCAAAGAAGATGAAATCTAGAGTTTGAAGTCCTAACTTCAAGCCAATCATGCACAAATTCAATCCTAGGGAAGCAAGTTGCGAAGTAAGGGATTAAGAAGACGAAACAAAAGCAAAATGGCAAAAAACGGTGGTCTAGACACTTAAAACTACTCTCGGGTTTGAAGTCCTAACTTCAAGCCAATCAAGCACAAATTCAATCCTAGGGAAGCAAGTTGCGAAGTAAGGGATTAAGAAGACGAAACAAAAGCAAAATGGCAAAAAACGGTGGTCTAGACACTTAAAACTACTCTCGAGTTGGTTCGACGCTATAGAGTCGAGCCGTGGCACTATCGCCATGCTATGCTGATGAGTGGTGCTATAGCGCCAAATAGTGGCACTATGGCTCCATTCATACTCATCTAGATTTTTAAATTTTTATATATTTTGAAATAGAACATAAAATCTAAAATTTTTAAACTCTAACATTCCAGCTTTAATGGTCATTTTGAAAGTTATTGAGTTCGTAGTCATTCAAAAATTTAAGTACACAACTACCAATTCCAATACTTTGAACACATAAAACCAACTTTTAACAACAAAACATAACTGATTTTTTTATATTAATAATAAGTTTAATACAAACAACACAACATAGACTTAATTAGATTTCAATACAAACATAGGAAAATATTCAAAAGTGTTGGAGCCTTATAATAACAAAGTTGACACACCACACATAAACACAAAATACTAACATAATTATCTATCTAAAAGTCTATCTAGGACTAGTTGTGAACAATGGTGTCACCCTTCTTATCACCCTCAAAATAATTATGATCAAAAGCATGATAAAAAGAAGCACGAGGAAATTTTGATGCAACCTTATTGTCAATTCATTTGCTGCAGCTATACATGGTCACTTGATAATCTTGAAAACTAGCCAAATTATTGAATTAGAGTTTCAACTGCCATTCCAAATTCTCAAACAGGTGGAACAAGTTTTCATACTTGGTGTGCAGATATAAGTTCTCTGCTTCAATCTTCTCAAGTTTTTCTATAAGTCGCTCCAAGCTTAATGCTAAGAATACATTGAAGTAGGTCTGAGCATCCTTATGCATCAACTTCTTGTCTTCAAATCTTCCACTGTCATTATTATCCATGCTCTCTAAGGAGGAATGACTTTTCTACTCTCATTTTCTCTAAAATGTTTATAAATGTTGAAAGGATGCCCCCTTTCCCATCCTAGGCAGTTTCAAAGAGAAGAAAAGGGTAAGAAACCGAAATTTGGGCGGCTTATGGGAGTTATTTGAACTATGGCACTATAGCGCTAGATCTGGCGCTATAGCACCAATCCAAAATTTTCACATGTTGAATTTCTTTCATCCCCTCCTCAATTCCATCAATAAAATAATATTTGTGTCATCTTAATCACAAAAGACTCAATATCACTTCATAAACTCATCATAATAACAATTAATAATCAAATCAATTCACACCGATAACTATGTGTTGTCTCCCACAAAGTACTTGGTTTAATGTCGTCAGCCCAACATAACCAATATTTTAATCTAGATGACCCAGCATTTGGATCTCCCTAAATTTATGATTGTCGGTCGCCATACGGCTGTGTGTGGTTTAATTTAGTGTAATATAGTATTTAGAATTTATGTATTTTTAAT